CTGGGTTAGGAAGAATATCAAGTGACAGTATTACCAAAGAACTACATATCACATCAAATATTATTCAGATTTAACTACCTAGAGACAAAGTACATTGATATTGTTAAGGTCCTTGATAAAAATTTGGCTGGACATATGCATACACACTTTTGTTCAGACTGTGAATTATATTGGACACAGGAGCACTTTTATGGAAAGCAGCACTCAAATAGTCTTTACACTACATACATTTAATACAGAACTGCATGTAGATGAAGCGAATTTATGTACTGTATTAGTTGAAAGTACTTTCAAGGGGCAGCCCTAGTACTATGGGGGATTCAGCAACAAGACCTAATGTTGGAGGGAAGGCTTTCAGGTAGACATTGATAATTCCTTCACTCATTCACAAATTCAAATAATATTTACTGATGAGAAATTTATTGACCCCTCACTGTTTGCAAAGTTATTTTCAACCACTAGAGATACAGTGATGACTAAAATAGAGACTTCAGACCAAAGAATTTACACATCTACAAATACTGTTAGAATTATTTAATTCCAAGTGTAACAACTGTCACAAAGGTGAGAGTTGAGTATTCTAAAAGGATATTATAGCAGACTTAGTAGAGCTGGTGGATTTTGGGAACATTGTCAGGGAAAGAGTGATAAGAATAAAAGTCAAGACTTGGGTCACAAAACTTTTTTGAGCATTAGGATGCACCTTTTATCCTAAAACACTGGAAATGCATGCAGGAGAAACACAAATTTGATCCCAGCGTGGGCAAGTTAGAAAATTAGTCCTTGTCTAAAAAAAAAAACAAAACAAAACAAAACAAAACAAAAAAAAACAATGGCTGGAGCATGTTTCAGTTCTGGAGTCTTAGGTTTAATCCTAAGTGCAGATTTAAAGAAGATTTTATAGAAATAGTCCACTATTCTGGGCAGTATTTGAAGTGAGTTGAATTTTTACAGTTTCAGTATCTCAAAGGCATAGAGTTGTGGTAATTGAGATTATTAGTTACCTACCACATGTCCATTTTTCCTTTCTTGCTAAAAGAACTCTATTTTGCTGTGGAGACTTCTGTACCTATGTAAATAAATTCGTATTTCCTTGTAGTTATGCAACAATTATTTGTGTGCGTGCACATACACACTAAGCAGTTACCAGTTTGGATTTAAACAAACATCTGCAGTGATAATTATTTTAGGTATTAAGCATAGAATTTGTTGTTTTCCATTTGCCTTTTTATTTCTCTATTACAAAAGATATGGTTAATATTTTAAGTATACACATTGGTTACTTTTCTCTCATTGCTGAGACAAAGTACCCAGCATCCAAAATTAGGGAAGCAAAGGTTTATTTAACTCACAGTTTGTGGAGGTTTCAGTCCATAAACAGCTTGCTCCAAGGTAGAGTGGTCTGGCACTGGGGTAACACTACAAAGCAGCAGAAGTCAGCAAAAGCAGCAAGAGCAAAACGGGGTGGGGCATGGGAGAGTAAGTCTCTTTTCTTCCATTATATTGTAAACAGCTTTGGGTGTGGATAGCACTCATGCCATCTCTGTGCCCTCCTGTTGCACAGGCCAAGGATATTTACAAATAAGGACCCTTATTTGTAAATATTTGTCTCATTGCTGAAAGGGGTCCATAAACTTCCAACTTTCTCAAATTAACACAATGAACAACATTCTAGAGTGGTGACAGCTTGTCCTCTGCACCCCAGGATTCAGAGCTGCAGGGTCACTTAGTCACTAGACATCTCCTGTTGATACAGTGTAACAACCATAACAAAATATAAACATGAAGAACACAAGTTAACTAAATAAGCCAAAAATACAGAAAGATGTGTGTGCTTTATGATATTATACAGCCCCTACTGCTTACATTCTTACTCTGTTTTCATTAATTTAAGAGAAAAAGTAAAAAATAATCTGCAAATTTGTAGGGTAAATGTAATCTTACGTCACTGTTTCCTGCACTTATACTGACAACTAAAAGAATAAGTATTCAAATAAATATATTTATTTAATGTGTCAGTTATATCTGTGCATTTATGCAAGTAAGTAATATAATTAAAATATTGAGATATCACTTCCAGTTAGAGTTATCAAGAATGTTTCACGTGAAGGATTTTACTTGCATTGGATTTTACAACTGTGAATTTGCTTCTAAATTGAAAAAAGTAGCCTTAAATGGAAAGGAGAGCTTTCTGCAATTCTTTCTCATGGGAACTGTGGTGTCACTGATGGTTTCTAGTTGGTTAGTGTCCTGTTTTAATATGATAACTTGATTGTCTGTTGGTGTGCCAGTGGTTTCATACCAGAAACCCTAATGTTGAAATGAGCAGTGGTCAAGTAGTAAAGATTTTAAACTACAATACAGGATAATTTGGTAGTAAAAGAAACTTACAAGATGGGAAAAAAATAGAATAGATGTAATCTTGAGTTTTAGATATGAAAGAGAAGGGTGAAGAAAAGTAAAAGCAATCTTGATTAAGAATTGTGTGGGTAGGTGGAAAGTTGGGGGTAAGAGAAGTATATTATTTAGGGTTCTCTAAAACAGAAACATCACAACCATTCCAGGAATTCATTAAGCAAGGATCAGAGGTTGCAGAGTCCACAAATGCAATCTGAGGATTGGAGGTGGGCAGTGCCCAGGGACTCAACAGAATCGGAGGCAAGTGGTTACACTTCTGTCTGAGTATCAGAGTCCACAGTAGTAGCCTGATAATACCCTCAGCAGAACGAAATGTTCTGGGTTTCTCTGAATAACTGTCTGATCATTTAAGCTTATGGCCTAGACTTGCATCCTAGATTATAAAGAAATGTGATCAGAAAGATGAGAATCAGAATCAAATATTTTTAACTTTATGTGGGGACCCAGATCCTACTGCATAAAGTGTAGAATTTCTAAATATAGGAAAAGATTCAAATACTGGATGTAAGAAAAAACAAGATAATAAAATGTATAACAACCCATTTTTCATGTCTTTTCTATGTTCTGTGATGTGTAAAGAATTACCAACAGAGATTCAATGATCTAATCTATGGGTAGTGTTTTACCTGACATAGTACTTAACTCACTTAGGTTAATATATATGTATATATATATATATATATATATATATATATATATATATAGATGGATCTTTAGAAATAGAAGATAATAGTGGAATATGCTTGAAGACAACAATATGGACATAAAAAGAAGAAGTAGGCTTATTGTTAAAGTATAGTTCAGTAGTATGCTTTCTCGATATACAAATACATTTGAAAGATTTCAAACTTCAAAACATTTAGCTTCATAATATATATGTGTATATATATGTATATATATATACATATATATATATTAAGTTATTGCTTATTGCTACTAGAAGTTTCAGATTATCTTACTAAACTTTAATGTGGAATATTTACATAAAGTATTAATCTCTTGATCAGATAAAATATAAATTATTATAGAGAAGGAAGAAGAGTTTAGTAACATCTGTAGACAAGAGATAAATTTTCATGAAACTGTAAATATGTTACAGAAAGACATGTTATGAACAAGGGTGCTACATATTCATTAGTGAGGAGACTGAATGAATCTATTGGAATATAAAGTTACAAGTTTAATAACCTTTCCTAAGTGGAACAAGTTATGTTGAAGAAAACTGATTTATGATATATTTTCCCATGTTGCTTTAAGACTTTCTGAAAATTAGTTTCTGTGTGGCCGTAGTCAAGCCTATCATATCTAGTAGTCAAGACTATCTTATCTAGTCTGTAAAAATAAAGGAAAAATACCGAATTGGTTGTTAAGGATGGTAGAGAAAATAATAGGACTAGATAAGAAAGTTAAAATAAGAAAGTTAAAAGTTAAAATTGGCTTAGAAAGATGTTCCCAGAACTGGCCTAAACGCTATGGGAATATTGTGTGCTCATGGTTTCTCTGTAATTTTGCACCTTCTACTTTCTTCTCTCATATCACATAGGCAGGAGAAAATACACAAAACTTCTCTGTGTATTCTAATCTTCAGCCCACTCCTTACATACTCCTGTGGCAGGCAATTAATAAACAACCACATGTGACATTGGGCACTTGACCTGAAATGTGAGGTTTCATGGAAGAGTCTTCTGCCCCACTGTGATCAATGTTCTTGCCTTATCTAGTGATTCTTTAGAAATAGAAGATAATAGTGGAATATGCTTGAAGACAACAATATGGACATAAAAAGAGGAAGTAGGCTTATTGTTAAAGTATAGTTCAGTAGTATGCTTTCTCGATATCCAAATACATTTGAAAGATTTCAAACTTCAAAACATTTAGCTTCAGACTTGGTGGTTTAGCCTTTATTGCATGAAACTAATTTTTCTAGAATAATAAGATTAGCTGACATTTCTAAGACTCAATACTAATCTAAATATTTTACTTTTTTAATTCAATCCTCATAATAATCTTATCACATAAAAAGAAGTCCTTTACATAAATACTATCACTTTTTTCACCTTAAGGAAGAGAAATTGAGCATCACAGAAGTTAAATGCTTGCCAAAGTTCCCACAGCTAGTAAGTAGCAGATACTTGGATTCTAGGAAACATAGCTGTGGCAGAGAAATCTCCTGTCTGCCAAAAAACAATCTAAATTTTTGTTTTTTATGCATGATATAGGTGAACAGATTTCAAAATAATATCTTATTTTAAAATAAGTTGAATAATATGAGTATTAAACGTTTTTACTGAGATAATTAACTATGGAAATTGAATCAGATTTTGATCAATATCACGAAGGCTATATTTTGAAAAGAATTTTGTCCTAACTTTCATAATTATGTTTATTTTGCTTTAATTTTTGACAATATTGTGAGGAAATAGATTTGAGGATCTTCTTTAAAATTTCTATTTTTTAATGATTAAATAAACTTTCATACTTTTCTACTAAACCACTGCTTAGTATGAAAAGTTACACAATGTCTACTTGAACATTTTTCATATGAGGTATGTTTATGCTCATCTATTTAAAATTTATTCTAGGTTTTTCCTGCCCCAGGCAGCTATGATGTTCAAAAGTCATACGAAAGGTCCCAAGTTCAGCATAAATACATGCCGCCTCGCAGTCCAATGGCTGAGAGAAAGCACTGCTCCTTCCTGAGTGCAGCTCCTCGGTGCCCAGAAAAGGTGCCTGATGGCCCAGGTGAGTGTGGATTGTCTTGTTAGGGTACGAGGAAAGGCGTAATGTGTCTATATTCAAATAGATGATGGTAAACTTAAATTTACCATTACTTTTACCTCTTTAAAGAATTTAGAGCAAAAAAGTAAAAAAAAAAAAAAACAAAATAATTACTGAAAGATTCTAATTTTTAAGATATTTTGAAGTTTAAAAAAGGTTTGTCTGGGGTTTTATGTTTCTTAACTTTGCTATACACAGTTTTACCAATTTCACTGCAGCTGAAAAATTCCCCTAGCATTCCTAGAGGGATACCTGTACACTTATTAATAAATCAAAAGTTGTTAAAAGGTGAAAGATGCTTTACTCTGATTCAGGAAATCAGTAGTGTACAAGAAACATATAATGCCTGTTACACAGAATTTTTAAAAAAAATTTTCTCAAATATCAAGAAAGCAGTTAATATAAAAGCTAAGTACTTACTTGAGAGTTTAAAATTCCAAAAATAATTTTGATTTTTTAAATAGGGATTGTTTTATCTATTAGTATTCTTGGCCTTAAAGTAAGTGTAACAACTTTCCCTGGTAATAAAGATAAACCAGTTAATACGCTATTGCACAGAGGAAAGCTAGAGAATAACAATAGTCATGGCGAATAACTTTCAAATGTATCACCACTAAGTAACTACATTGTTGTAATGAATCCTTATGAGAATATAAAGTTAAAAAATTTAACAGCATGAAGAAACATTTTGCCCTAGTTTTTGATGAGAAACCATAGCAGAAGTCTTGTCAAGCAAAAAAGCATACTTGGTGATCCTGAGGTCCATAGAGGCTTGCTTTTTTTTTTTTTTTTGGCTTTTAAGAATCAGATCAATTTTAAGCTAAAATTTAACTCTGCTTCTTTTTGTTTTCTTCTTTTGATTTAATGCACCACTGTTAGTTTGTCAAGTTTTCGCTTTGCTTCCTAGTGTGTGCCTGACAACACTCAGTATGTGGTGAATCAAATGTGGTGCAGGGAAATTAATTCTCTAATCACCACCATCAACAAGCACAGTCAATTAAATAAAAAATAGATATCCATATCAAGATCTTTTGAAGTAGATTATGTTAAGCTTTGCAGTATCCAAGGTGTTTTTCCTCTTCTCTGTCTTTACTCTCCTGTGCATAAAGAGTCATGTGGGTAGAATATATAATAAAAGTTTAAGGGCCAGGATTGATACTGTGACTTTCTATTACTTCAGATTTTAGACTAGGGAAAATGAACTTGCTAATTGTTTCATTGGTTTCTGTTTTTCAAAATTGAGATAATATTTACCACCTACTTGCTTCTCATAAGTATGCAAAACTTAAAAAGACTATCTTTCAAAGTCTTTCAGGATCTCTGAAGATAAAGTCTTAATAATAATGTGAGACATGCCTCTTCTTTATGTCAATCCAACACTAGCTTCTAAAAGACTGGAAGGAGAGGGGAATATTTTTGTTATAAAGAGAATAATTATTTCGAAGTCAAAGATATAATAACTGTCAAAGTCACTACACAACTACAAAGCAGTCTGTGCTTGCTAAATGAAAAGAGTTTATTACACTGGCTAATACCAGTAATCTGTCAAATGTGCCATCTTGAACCTTAAAGAAATGGTATGTGAAAGAAAAGATGCCAGAAATTTCACACCTTCAGTAATCAACACATTAGGAAAACCACATGAATTTTGTAAGCAGTTGTCTAATACTATGATGTATGAAGTTTGATTTCCTCTGATATGTGAAGATATTATAGTAATTATAGACTTGCTCATTCTTTTAAATTTAATATTCTGTTTTAGGGCATACAATCCAAAATAGATTTAATAGGTGCTAAGGCCAATTCACTTAATATCTGTTTCATTTTGCTAATTGAAGATTGACTTTCATTTTCCTAACTCTGTTAAATTGATTCAATCAAAGCAAAAATTTAAAGTGTGATATCATAAACTATCTAAATAGATTCCTGTTTTTAAGTTGATTTTTACTTAGATCAGATTTTATTATCGATCAATATGACAAATCCTGATTCTTTTAATGTATAGATAGTAATGCAGTTTTCTGCTATAAAATGACAAACCATTTCTGTGTTTGTAATAGCATCTAGCTTTTTCTAGACAACTCACAGTCATTTTGTTTGTAATAATAATAATAATAATAATAATAATAATAATAATAATAAAAGATACAGTACAAGCTAAACATGCCAGCACATTCCTGTTCTCCCAGCTCCTGGGGAACCTGAGAGAGAATCAAAAGGTCAGTGCCAGTCTGGCCATCTTGGGGAAATCTTGTCTCAATTAAAAAAAAAATAGAACAGAGGATGCAGCTCAGGGGTAGAGCACTCTGGATTCTGTTCTAGTACTAAAAACAAGACACAACGAAATAGTTATATTTATTACATACTTTGTGTTAGTGTTACTTATAAATGATGTCCTTACATATTATAAACTTTTGGAAATAAGTAGGGAAAAAGTGCTTCTTTACCTTGCCACTTGTTTAAGTGGTAATTTTGTTTTACTTTAATACCAATGTAAAATATTAAATGTAAAATTTCTCATATTTTATATAAGATTATTTTATAGTATTATATGTATATATACATGTACACATAAATTAAACTATAAAGACTATTTGACTTAATTTATGGAGCATGATACACATATTTGTTACTTGAGTCATGATATTGCTAAAAATTGAGTGGTTTGCTTTATAAAATTTGAAAAACTGCATGTTATTATCTTTCTACGAATAGAATAGAATAATATCATATTAAAATTGATTACAGGATATCTTTTATAAGTATAAATGTTAAAAGCAGAAGTCAATTATATGACTATTTTCAGGGGACTCACAAACTCATAAGATACTTATTTAATCACAACATTTCATTGTCATATGTGTATTTCACATTACTTTAGAATTTTAATTAACAAATATGGAAGTGGTTTTATTTTATTTATAGTGAGGGTTACTTTGTGCATATATTTAAGAAGAATAAAATCCATTTTAATTATCTAAATTAAAGAGGGAAATAGTATATTTGCCATCAGTATGCTGCATATTATTAAATGTTGTGAAGCTAATAAAACACATTACAATCATTTAATGAAAAAATTATTAAATGAGGTGTATCACATTACAAAGCAATTTCCTTTTATTACACCACGTTTTAATTCACGGGTATGTAAATGATTGATCCAACTCAGGTAAAGTGAAATTGTTGAGTTAAAAAGTACTTACATATTATTTTGTCTCTTATATTGACTTCTTCTGGAACATTTAGCTGGAGAAATATTCAACATGTTTAAAAAGAAAATAGTCAAAAACTTTGTTGGGAGGGAGGAAAACTGGAGATTCGTACATTCAGATAGACATGTAAGTTGTATCAGTGTTTCTCAAGGGCATTTTGGCAGAAATGTTTCAAACTTTCACGCCATTTCATCCAAAATTTCTACTTCTGGGATTATCCTAAGGAAGCAATGAATATTATTCCCACAATATAAATATCAAAGAGATCCATGAAAGGAGCGTAATAACAACAATTTAAAATGTTCCAATGAAAAGCAAAATGCAGTTTTATTCATTTTGATATATCAACCTTAACTGAAAATTTATAAAAATTTTAGAAGTGGTTTATAATTAATAAACAGGAAACTTTTGGAGAAAAGGTCTTATTAATTCAATCATTTCATAAATATTTACTGAAATCCTCTTATATACTAAGGACTGTTTCCACTTTTGATACAAAAGTGGAAAATATAAATATTCTTTTTTCTCAGAGTTTAATTCCAGCTGCAAGAGATATTCAATAAATGAATAAAGAGCTGGAGGAAAGACAGAGAAAGAAATGAAAGGAAGAACATAGGAAGCCAGCTAAGTGTTCATAAATGCTTTAGGGAAAAATAAGAGAGAAGAATAAGGAACTTAAAATATTTTGTAAATCTATTTCAAGTAATATTTTCAGAGAAGGCTTCATTAAAAATAATGTTACATTTAATATTAAAGAGTTTTTTATCTTTCAATTAAATTTTTTTTCTTTGTATGTACATATTCTGCTTTATAGGAGGAAAAATGTATTATAAACTATTTAAATACTTTTAATTTAAAATAAAACAGGAGTCTGAATAAATGTTAAAATAAAATATTTACATTTTAAAAGTTGAATTATTTTTAAATTTTTAAATGAGGAAAAATATTAAATTTAGAACACATCTTTAATTAGAAACCAAACATTTAAATGAATGATAGGTAATGCATAACATATAAGACAATATTCAGAGACTGAACCTTTCTGATACCAAGATTTACTTCACTGTAAAAGTATAGATCATTTCTTATGAAAATAACTTTGTGATTTCTTCTTTATATTTCCAAAGGAAATTATTTTAGGAAACAAATATAATTTATCTTATAAGTTAATTGAACATATCCCATTAAGGTAGCTTTGTTCACTTTTTAAATAAACATAAATAATACCTTTGATATAAAAATCACTGTAGTGTGAAAACTAATTATTCCTTCTATTTGCTTAGTGAGGTAATATTATAGCTTCAGGAGTATACTATTAAGTTTGTCAAACTTCACTTTCTTGTTGAGTGCTGTTAACTGATTAGAGTAAATGTGTAGTTTTTGTTGTATTTCTATAGCTTCCAAAAATGTTTCTAAACTGATGAAAAGCAAGATAAGATATTTCTGAGCTGAAAAAATGCCTTAATGCATGCAAAAATATATCAGATTGATTTTTAGGATTTGTTGACTATAACTTTATTCAAAAATACAGAAATATTATCATTGTAAGTGAGACAGTTAATGTTTTCCATGTCAAATTATTTTTGTTTCTTCAGGCACCTTTAAATATATTTTAAATGAAATTATCTTATACACTATTTAGAATGATCATTTTAATAAGCATATGTTTTTGGAAAATGATGCCGTATAGTATATACAGATTTATTAGTTTTCTGAGTTAGAAGGAAATAATTCACTTTTTGAATAGTAAAA